GATACCCCATAATTAAATACAATATCCTCCCACAGAGACTAGCTTACACTGCGTTTAAAACCAAAATCGCATTTGGATAGAAACTGTTTCTCATGCGGTTAGTCCTAGTCTTTATAACCCTGCACCTTCTTCCAGAAGCTAGAAGAGATCATTTCCGGGGTGTGCACTATCTCTGCAGCTTTCTTATGGCACCTGGAAGCATAGATTTGATCCAAGGTGGGAAGAGTGCACCCAATTATTCTTTCCGCAGTCTTTACAACCTTGGACAGCATTGTTTTTTCCCTGACCGTGCAGCTCCCAAACCACACACACAGACCATAAGTTAATACACAGTACAATGGTAAAATGCCATCAACAGGTCCTTTGACAGATTTTTTCTGAAGGATTCTCAGAAAATATAACCTCTGTTGTGCTCTCTTTATCAGGTCTTTGCTGTTTTCTCCCCAGGTTAGGTCATCTCTCAACTCCATTCCCAGAAATCGAAACACTGAGACCTGTTCCACATACTTCCCCTCAATAATATTCTGTCTCCATCCATTCTTCTCTGACTGATCATGGACTTAGGACACTCCAAGTCCCATGGGGAGTTGGGCAGCAAAAGCCAAATCCCAATTTTGACATCAAAATATGAGCACAGTTCAAGTAAATATTAAAGTGTTTAAATAACTGCATGTTGCTTTCAGGTGTCCAACCTATGTACTCTTTAGCCATAATAATAATAACACAGAAAAGGTGGGAGCAAGTTTATCCCCCAGTGAGCAAATGGATTATGTGGAATACCGCCTATAAGTTTCCTCCTTATACCTTCACAAGTTAAAGGGACAGTTTCTCAATTTACAAAGATTTTAAAAAATATTTTTACCCCTTAGGTTCTGGCCCAGTTCTCCCTCGTATTACTAACCTGGCTGTAAACTGCAAGTGGAAAATCACCTCCATTTTAAAAAGAACTAAAACAGTGCATAGCAAATTAGCATGTCCAGGAGACAGCTAGGCACTGATCCTTTCCCACTTACATGTTTGTTTTCTGCATATTTAGGGGGCAGGCATTGCGTTATATGAGTCCGCATCTGCAGGCTGGCACAGGTTTGCTACCTCCCTAAGAACTAGGCCACTGTGATGCTTCTTGTACCCTGATTGCATTTCTTCAGATACAAAATATTTTTCAAAAAGCCTGGCTTCTGGGAGTGAGCTGCTCAACAGCCGGCCTGGGATTTTGTCCCAACATGTAGTAAGCGTTCCCATGACCTCACATTCCCTTTGGAGCACGTGCGCCCAATTCTTGCTCACAGATGGCAGCAGCTTAATGCCGTTCTAGAGAGCTGTTGCTTCCGACATGTTCCTGTCCCCTTTTCCAACATAATCAGGCAGCAAGGCAAAATACATACCGCCAGAGGCTGAAAAATACTCACGTTAGGAAGAACAGCAAAAGCGAGCTCAGGCAACCTTTTCTTTTGCTAGGCCACCCCGCCGCCGACATTGCCTTGCGAAGGTCAAGGCAGCAACAGGTGGTGGCACCCGCCCAGGTGAGCCTCGCTTTTTTTGCCGCAAACCGCCCACCTGTGGGGAAGGGGGCCGGATTTCCTGTTTTATTGTATTTCGCATCTGCCCGTCAAGAAGTCAGTGGAGAAGAGAAGCTGCAGAATTAAGGATAATATTGGGAAACTTATTTAAGAAGAAGAAGAAGAAGAACCCATTCCAATTCACCTCAAAAATGGAGTCTGTTCAAGTTCCACCTCCAAAAACAAACTAATTCCACTCCAGTTCAATCCATAATTCATTCACACGGTCCTTAACATTTTATTTTAAGCTTCCAACGTTTTACAAGCTGCACTGCTACAGTAAAATATACTTAAGATCAGTGCCGCATTTACGTATCAGCTAAACAATCTATAGCTTCGGGCCCCACTCTCTTGGGGCCTCCATAAAAATTTAAAGGAAAAAAACCCTGGATGTACATTTCCAAAATATAAAATAAAAAACAAATAAAATAAAACCTACATACAGCAACAGTGTTTTGTGTTGTGTAGGCTCCTATTTGCTCATTTCTATATATAGGGTGCCTACATTCTGCATGGACTGGTTGCATGGCAACATGTGCAAATGGCTTTAGATACCTATTAGGTCCATAAATCTTGTGTGCCCTGCTCGGCGTAGTTCATAGCTTCTCTGAGTTCTTCAAGCCCCTTCGCTACGGCAAGGCAGTGATCCATGGTTTTCCCAGTAGTGATGTATGGAAGTGAGAGCTGGACCATAAAGAAGGCTGATCGCCGAAAAATTGATGCTTTTGAATTATGGTGCTGGAGGAGACTCTGGAGAGTCCCATGGACTGCAAGAAGATCAAACGCATCCATTCTTAAGGAAATCAGCCCTGAATGCTCACTGGAAGGACAGATTGTGAAGCTGAGGCTCCAGTACTTTGGCCACCTCATGAGAAGAGAAGACTCCCTGGAGAAGACACTGATGCTGGGAAAGATGGAGGGCACAAGGAGAAGGGGGCGAGAGAGGACGAGATGGTTGGATAGTGTTTTCGAGTTTACCAGCATGAGTTTGACCAAACTGCGGGAGGTAGTGGAGGACAGAGGTGCCTGGCGTGCTCTGGTCCATGGGGTCACGAAGAGTCGGACACGACTAAACGACTAAACAACAACAAAGGTCCATAAATTACCATGTAGCATATATTCAACACAAAAAACAGCAACAATTTGTTGTTGACAAAGGACAGCTGGACATATAAAGGGCCCCATTACCTTCAGTAGCTTAGTGCCTCATCAAACCTAAATCCAACCCTGCTTAAGATTACTTCAGCCACACCCAGACTGATGTTTTATTGGGGCATATTCTGCAACATGTAGTTGACACAATAATAACGTGTTAGTGGCATATTCTACTTTAGTTCTGTTATGTTTCCCCAATGCAATGATTGGCTGATTCTGCTTCCCTCCTGGAACCTGATTGGTCTTTTACTGCAGGCCAATCAGTTGTTGCATTCTATGATCCTACCAGCCTAATAGGCTGATTAACTTCCTCCTGGAGCCTGATTGGTCTTTTCCTGCAAGCCAATCAGTTGCTGCATTCTAGGATCCTACTTGCCTAATGTTCTAGGATCCAAGCTTAGTGCATAACAAATTTAGTGAGTAAGACTCCTTGAGGAAGCATGAATTCCTATTAGCAAGCAAAGCAGTTGAGCAAAGGCTGGTTACCAAGTGGTCCTAAGTATGCCATTTCATACTCTCTACATCTTCCTGTGACAGGAAGTTTCAGGAGCTGTTACTAGGTCATTTTACTTAAAAGGAGAATTGTCACATCTTTTTGTTTGACAAACTGGGCAGGACAGAGTGAATAGATAAGGGCCACATTAAAGTTTCATCAGTTCCTTAAATTTTCTTCCTCTTCTTTTTTGGCAATCAATCGTAGCCAAGTAAGATTGTCTTCCGTGAAGGAAGAGATCCCAACAAAAGAAGAGTGGCAGATGAAGTTAATGGACTACGCCGAATTGGTGAAATTAACTGGGAAAATTCGGAACCAGAAGGACGAGACGTAAGACTGGAATAAATTTGCATTGTATTTGAGAGACAATTGTAAACAATTGACATTGTTAGTAGGGCTACAAGAAGTTTTGTAAGGTTAGTGATATCAATATGATGTTTAAATGGTGTATTTAAGATTTGGATTTAAGGGTAATAATAATAACAAAATGCAATATTAGAGTATAATTAGGAAAACCATTACTTGAGAAGGAGGGAAGTCTCAGGCCAGCTTGGCCAAGTGGCTTTAATATATTATATGTAAGATGGATGTTTTGTCAATTTTTTTTTAAAGATTATCTTCCATGAACACAGTCTTAACAGTGTGTCCGTAGGTGACTGTAGAGGCCAATTCTGGATCCACACGTCCTTCCACAGTGGGGACATAGTTGAGGGTTGATCATGGTGAGGGTTTGCCAAACATGTCTTCCTCTTAGCATGTTTCTCCCTTTCTCTCCACACATGACCAGTCCAACAAAGTTGATGTTGAAGAATCACTGCTTCGACACTGGTGATCTTTGCTTCTTCCAGTACACTGGCATTTATAAGTGGTCCATGTTTCGCAAGCATACAGTAAGGTTGGTGGTACAATAGCTTTGTAAACAAGCATTTTGGTTTTCCTGCGAATGTCCCAGTCCTCAAACACTCTGTACTTCAGTTGGGAGAAAGCTGCGCTCACACAGCTCAGGCGATGCTGGATTTTGGCATCAATGTCGGCCCTTGTGGAAAGATAACTGCCCAGGTAGGAGAAGTGATTGACTGCAGCGTTACACCATTGAGTTGGATTTGTAGGACTGCAGAGGGGTTGTTTTGTGCTTGTTGATGCAGCACTTTGGTTTTTTGGATGTTGTGTGATAGGCCAAGCTTTTCGGAAGCTTCTGCAAAGATATTTAGGATGGTTTGGAGGTCCTCCTCTAACACTACGTTGTCATCAGCATACAGCCCCCACCTCCCTGCTGTTTCTTGTCAGCCAGCTGCAAAAACGTGGACTTCCTTCTTTTTGCTGGCTACATTTAGACAACCACACTGTTTCTCCTTTCTCACACCCACACAAGAAGGGTGTGCAATAGCTAGTAGCCACCAGTTACCAAAAGCTAATCCAGTCAGCAATCCAAAAGCACTGGGAGAAGGTAATGGTGCTGATCCAAAGAGGATGCAGGCAACGATCCTTGCAACTCTCTAGATGCCTCCAAGCACCACAAAAGTAGAGTGGAGAAAGACCGTATTGCCAGCAGAAACATCCCTTTCCTCCTTTCCCTTTGGTCAAAGTCCTAAGCTGATCCAAAATTCTGCTCGCCTCCCGGAATCTGCTGCTAACCTGGCTTGAAGGTTCAGGTGTGCTGGGAAAGGAAACAGCAAAAAGAAAAGAGCAGGACTCAAGCAACAAGCACCCCTCCCCCCCCAAACTTCCACCCTAGCAGTGAGCTAAGGCAGTCACAGGCCTCATACTTCCTCTAACAAAAAGCCACAAAGGAAATGCCCTGCATGTGTTTTTTCTTTTCTTTTTAAGGCACCAGACTCAGCCCTAGAGAGATTTGTCACTTTTCAGGGCTTCAGTCCACTTGTTCAGATGCAAGGAAAGATAGTCCGCTGTGGTGCTTCAGCAGATGACAATGTGATGGAATGAGCCAAGGACGATGGGATCCCGGATCAAGTAAGACCATGGGCTGCAAAGCCTGCTCACCTTCACTTTCCTTCAGTTTTAATTCTTCCATCAGGATCTACCTGAAACTTTTCCCTCCTCCAACTGACCTGAGAGTTGCATCCCACTAGAACACCTTGCAGTGCTGGAGGACATGCTATGGGACAGCTCTCCAGATGGCTGTGCATGGAAATCTCTTGGCTTGTAAACTGTTTTAGGTCCAGGGTGAACAACCTCCAGATGTTGCTAGACTACAGCTTCCATTATCAGTATTCCATTATTACCAGTGGCCATGCTGGCAGGAGTTGATGGACATTGGAGTTCAACATCTGGAGGTTCACAGTTGTCCATTCCTGTCTTAGGAGGTCATTGTGTGTGGTGGGATTCTTGAAGAATCAATAGCCATTGGGTTACAAGAGCCAAGACATCACAGAAAATACCGGTAGGATAGGAACAGATAGGATAGTCATTTATTTGTCTTCAGAAGCTGGCCATGGTAACAAAGGTCATCTCCTGCAAGGGACTTTGCTCTTCCCGTATTTTGTTTTCTGGTGATGCCACTGATGATATATTGTCTGTTCTAAATGGCAGCTACTTTCCAGATTCTCTTTACCAGTTCTGGTACCTGATATTACTTTTTAACCAGAGAGAACCAGGAAGAATAGTAGAAATATTATTCAGTCTGGTATCTCCAAGGCACAACATTCTTGGCATGAAATTCAGCTCAGGTACTTCAGATAGGCTGCATATAACTTAGGTGCACACAGACTTGTTTATTGCTTCAGTTGGGAGGGCACAATTAACATTTCTGCCCCACCCCAGTCTACCATTTCATGCCTTCCAATTGCCTCTTTATTCCTGACATGTTGGAGCAAAACAAACTAAAGTCTGGCAACTCTGATGCAAGAAAGGAAATATTCTGAGCATGTGCAGTTTCACATTTCAAACTCACTTATATCACAGCACCCTCATGACCGCAGGAATGAAATATTTTTTTGCTTCATTGATCCAAAAAACAACAACTAGGAATAAGCACCATTTTGCAAGGAAAAGTACTTGTAAGGCAAAAATAATAGAATGAGCATGTGTAACCATGCATATACCTGATCAGGGAATACACACCTTCTGCACATGAAGGCAAAGTGCCAAATAGCCACTATTTTTGGAGACAAATGGTGTATATCTGATCTGACAGGGGAAACTTTGAGATTAACTCCTATGCTGCTTTTGTTTTACGTGATTGAGGATAAGGACGATATAGGCTTAGGAACTACTAGTACAGAGATCCTGTTTAAAGTTGCAAAGATAGAGTGGGCTAGAATATGGCACTCTCAGCAACCTGCATCTAATTGGGAATCGTTATTAAACTGCTTGGAGCTGATATAAATGGACAAATTAACCAAACTGATATGAAGGAGAGAAAGTAGACTCTGAAGTGTTAACTTTACAGAGAGATGGACCTATTTTACAGATTGTTAAAATATATTATATGGAGATGGAAGACTGGAGACTTCAGCTATTCAGAATTAAGTTTGCCTCTATCATTTTTGGTTCAGTTTGATCACGCTGAAGTCACAGAACGTTGGGAATCAGATGATGATCATGATGATTTATTGAATTTATACACTGCTCTATACCCAGCAGTCTCAGGGCGGTTCACAGAACAAAATCAAAATATAAAACCACAATATATATAATCAAAATAAAAATAACAACCCAATAATAACCCCCCCCAAAGACCCCATATTTTACAAGGGCATAGGATGTAAATGAGACCAACCAAGGGCCTGGTTAAAAAGGAACATTTTTGCCTGGCGCCTAAAGGTGTATAATGAAGGTGCCAGGTGAACTTCCCAGAGGAGAGCATTCCACAGATGAGGAGCCACTGCAGAGAAGGCCCCGTTCTCGTGTTGCCACCCTCCGGACCTCTTGAGGAGGTGGCACATGAAGAAGGGCCTCAGAAGATGATCTCAGGGTCCGGGTAGGTTCATATGGAAAGAGCCGGTCCTTGAGGTATTGTAGTCCTGAGCCATTTAAGGCTTTATAGGTCAGAACCAGCACTAAAAATGCATACCCACAAACATAGGATGTGTGGCAAAACGTTGCAATTTCCTCACCTCCCGCCTGATCAACGCCCTTGCCAGTCTGCCACACCTTCCTCTTTCCCCTACAACCCAGAATCTTGCTTTTATTTTCCAACATGACAGGCAACATTCTGCGGCTCTTGAGTATGGCCAGTCCTCATTGGGATGGGAGGGGATCTTTTTGGAGGGATGCCTTAGGGTCTGTCTGTTTTTTTTTATTAAAAAAATACTTCTGCAAACCTTGGAGTTTACCAGAGCATGCAGATATCTCCCTGTTATCTCTCAGTGGCTCTATTTCTGTCGGTACTCACCACCTGAGTTCAGTATCACAGGAAGTGTGTGTGTGTGTGTGTGTGTGTGTGAATATACTATATTTGTTCTAGTTCATCATCACACTATTTCCATCGGCTGTTTTCCAAAGGTCTAAAGGCAGGAGTGGGTTAAGGAGAAGTGGGCAGGAAGGGGGGGAAGGGGGTGCTGACGTCTGTAGCAAATAATTGCACGGGTTAATGGAAGACTGGGCTGGGAGAAGGGTCTCTCGGTGTGTGGTGGTTTTAATTCTTTGGTGATGGTGGCAGGAGAGAAAGGAGAAGCAGGGGCAGATGGAATTAAGGGAGGGTAAGGGTGGCATTTGGAGGAATGAGGGGGAATATGAGAGGCAGAAAGTTGTGTGTGTGTGAGAGAGAGAGAGAGAGCTTTAGGGTCCTGGTGATCTGGGGAAGAAAGCTGGAGAGGAGGAGGGATTGAGAAGGAGCCTGGCCCACCCATGAGGTGAGGTGAGGCCACTGCCTCAGGCATGAGAAACCCTTGAGGCAGCGTCCCATTGGTGCCCCAACCACCCCGCCACCTTCGCCACCGGTGGAGAAGCAGCACAGGCATTGGCAGTGGTTTCTTTCTGGAGCTCATGAGAACTCGTCAAAATATAGTGAGATCTGTGAGTTCTTGCCAGAACTCGTTGGTGCTTTGCCCATACAGAGAGAGACCTTTCTCCATCCTTGTAAATAAAAAGGTAAAGGGACCCCTGACCATTAGGTCCAGTTGTGACCGACTCTGGGGTTGCGGCACTCATCTCGCTTTATTGGCCAAGGGAGCCGGCGTACAGCTTCCAAGTCATGTGGCCAGCATGACTAAGCCGCTTCTGGTGAACCAGAGCAGTACATGGAAACGCCGTTTACCTTCTTGCCAGAGCGGTACCTATTTATCTACTTGCACTTTGACGTGCTTTCGAACTGCTAGGTTGGCAGGAGCAGGGACTGAGCAACGGGAGCTCACCCCGTCGCGGGGATTCAAACCGCCAACCTTCTGATCGGCAAGTCCTAGGCTCTGTGGTTTAACCCACAGCGCCACCCGCATCCCTATCCTTGTAAATATTGTCCAATAAATCCATGGGTCTGCTCAAAGCTCTTCTTCTTGCCTCCTTTTACCAGCTCTGAGTTCCTTGGTCTCTCTTCTGTCTCCTCAGGGAAAATCCTCAGAAAATATTTGACCTGTTCTTTGAAGCTGCCTGTCCAACGCTTGCAGAAGATGGTGAGTCTCATTTATGGCGGGAAATGGTGCTTCTTGGGGTGGGATGTTTATGCATCAGTGGGCCAGATTTTTAGGAGGCTCCAGGTAGCCATTGCTGGGGGAAAGTGGGCTGAGAACCATCCCAAGTCAAAAGTGAGTCCTTTCCCTTTCTGCCTCACTGCTATCTCATCCACATCCCAATCACAAAATCATAGAATTGTAGAGTTTGAAGGGACCCTGAGAATCACCCAGTCCAACCCCTTTCGGTGCAGGAATATGCAGCTGCCCCCAGGGCCAGATTTAGGTTGGATGAGGCCCTAAGATACTGAAGGTAATGGGGCCCATTACATATCCAGCTGTCCTTTGTCAACAACAAATTGTCGCTGTTTTTTGTGTTGAATATATGCTACATGGTAATTTATGGACCTAATGGGTATCTAAAGCCATTTGCACATAACAAAATATGTATTTTGTCAAAGTAATTGTTGAACTGAATTAAGAAGAAGTCTATTAATAGTGAAATCATTATTAAGCTCTAACTTAAAATGATTTTTATTCATAACAAACTGCAAACACATTGGCATTTGGCAATAACAGAATTTCCTTTAGAAACACAATTTACAAAGACTCATAATCTAGTCTCTAGAAACTTGCTATACCTGAAATAATAATAGGTGTAAATATATGATGCAAACTACTAATAATTATAAATAGCAGAATGTAGGCACCCTATATATAGAAATGAGCAAACCAGTGATATTTTAGGGAGCAGGCTAGCAGGAGGGGGGCCCATTACTTACATCATAGGAGCCTACACAACAAAAAACACTGTTGCTGTATGTTGGTTTTATTTGTTTTTGTCTTATATTTTGGAAATGTACATCAGTTTTTCCCCCTTTAAATTTTTTGGGGACCTCCAAGATAGTGGGGCCCAAAGCTATAGCTTGTTTAGCTTATATGTAAATCTGGCACTGGCCCCATACAGGGATCAAACCTGCAAGCTTGGTGTTATCAGCACCACACTCTAGACAACTGAGCTATCCAGTGGTGCCCATGGGGTTGTATCATCCAGTTCTGTCCCTGCAGCCCCAACACTGCAGGGAGACCCTCCAGAGCAGATTTAAGAAGAACACAGGGAGGGGGCTGCAGGAGAATCCCTGGACATTGCTCCCCTCCCCATGCCACTGTCAGCTGATTGACATTTTGAAACTACCCACTACCTGTGGTGCTCAAAGGAAGTAAAAGAAGCCACAGCAGTCAAAGTGCTTAGCTCAGCAGCTAGAATTGGTTTGAGGTTGTCTACTTTCGGGTTGCTTACAAGGCGCTTCCTACAAACTTCTCTCATGGTGGAATGAAATCCTGCACAATGTGGAGAGAATGGGCCAAATATCATTTTTCTCCCCTCTCTCATCACAACTCAGCACCAGTGGATTGGTAATAGATGCAGAACGGAGAAAACATAGCCTTTCTTTGTACAGCACAGCAAATAATTAACAAATGGACCTCAAGGTTGCAATATATTTATTTCTACATCACTTGACTTATACATCGGGGGAAGATTACAATACATTAAAACATGCAGGAAGTTAAAATAAGAAAACAGATCAAATTCACACCAGCATTTCTAAGCATCTGGGCAGGCTTGCCTAAAGAAGAATGTTTTCAGCGGGAGCTGAAAAAGATGGCGATAGCAATTGGATTAGACAGTTATAAAAGAGTATTAGACAAAGTCACAGAGGGCTAGCTCTTTAAATGGGAGTAAGCTGGGATAGCTCAATACAGCTTCTATGTTCAGATGAAGTTTATCAGTTGCCAGGGTGGGACAAGCAATGTGAGCTGCCCAGAAGCATTTGGCTGGCTAAAGTTCAGAACAAGACACTAGACTAGAGGGGTCTTTAGCCAACAACTCAGCACCTCAGGAAGGCTCCATTGTTGTTTGACTCCAGCTCCATCATTCACAACTGTTGGCCATCCAGCAACAGTGGGGGACAACCAACAGCCTACCGCTGCTGTACCTGCTTGGGACAAAACTCAAGGGGCATGTAATTTTGGCAATTTATTTATAATATTTATATCCGCTGTGCAGCCTCGAGAGGCTCTCAAAGCAGCTGACGGAAACTGCTGAAATTGAAACACACTCAGTTCTGCTATGACAGCCACGAGAAGCCTTTGGCCTGCAGACCACATTAGGCCTGGGCTGAGTCCTAATTTGATGCCGTTTCCCCCCACCTGCCATTGTATGCCATCAGGTGTGGAGCAGGTAAAGCAACCAAGCAGAGTAGCAACCGGCAGGCTCCCGATTCTTCCTCTGCAAGCTCCTGCTCAGAGCTCTGGAGTGTTGCCAGACCCTCCCAGGAGTTGCACTTGCATTCAATGCCAAATGCATGCCCCACTTTCAGCAGGAATTTTTGCAGCTGCAACTTAAAGCCAGGGCTTGAGAGAAAGAACCCAGAATGCACTGAGTGTGTTTCCAATTATATATTTGAACTTGAATCATACAACATCATAGGGCAGTGGGTGATTGCAGTGCCGGATTTACATATAAGCTAAACAAGCTATAGCTTAGGCCCAAGGAAAAAGAACTGGATGTACATTTCCAAAATATAAGATAAAAAAGAAATAAAATAAAAGCTACATACAGCAGCAGTGTTTTGTGTTGTGTAGGCTCCTATGATGTAAGTCATGGGCCCCGCCTGCTAGCCTGCTCTCTAAAATATCACTGGTTTGCTCATTTCTATATATAGGGTGCCTACATTCTGCATGGACTGGTTGCATGGCAACATGGGCAAATGACTTTAGATACCTATTAGGTCCATAAATCGCCATATAGCATATATTCGACACAAAAAACAGCGGCAATTTGTTGTTGACAAAGGACAACTGGACATATAAAGGGCCCCATTACCTTCAGTAGCTTAGGGCCTCATCAAACCTAAATCTGGTCCTGTGTGATTGGCAGGTGAGCGGCTCTAGCCACCTGTGAAAGGTGGCTCATAGAGGATGGGCCAGTTCTGGAACTAGCCTGGTATAGGGACAAAAATCACATGGTATCTTTATGGAACCAGCGTTTGTTCAGGCAGCACTTCCAGTCTCGTTCTTGTTCTTCACTGAGGCCATAACAGGTGCTTATTGCAGCAGACATGGCTCACCAGGAGGCACCTCTCTTTGGGGCAGTAGAGATATAGCTCAGAGACCAGGGGCAGCCTTCTGGCTGCCCAGAGAACTCCTAAGGAGAGGAGAGAGGAGAGGAGGCTGGGGGAACCCTCCACAAGAGAGGGTGTCTTAAAGAGGAAAGGAGGCTGCTAGCTCCGTAGGCAAGGGGTGACATAACTGGGCTCCTGAGCCCTACAGGGGTGCCACAGAAAGAATGGAGTTGGTCAAGGGAGCCGTGGACTAAAAAAGAATGGAAACCTCTGATGTAAGGAAACTTGTGTCCCTATCCACCTGCGCCTCTTCCAGTTCCAGGTGTCCCTATTTGACAGAGATAGTGCTTAATTTATGTACCCCCTTCCCCCTTGCTGCTGTGGTTTTCTCCAGATGGCTTAAAATGACCGTTGGATGGTTGTTAAAAATAAGAAAGAGAGGGGAAAGGGAAGTGTCCGCTTAAGCTCTCCTGCACAAGGAAGCCGGCAAGGGAGAAACCCCGTCTCTGCCCAGAGGCAGCCCAAGGCAGCATGAAACTCTTTCATCATGTCCCATCCGGTTCTCTCCTTCCTGTGTGTGTGTGCAGGTTAGTCTGTGCAACTGAGGTGCAGGGTCTCGCGCATGCCTGGAAGCCAGGCCTTGAATCTCAGCTGCAATGGGGCTGCGCCTCTTCAGCGGTGAGGGAAATGTGCACATCTTCGGCCTGGAGGCATTTTCTGTCGGCTGTCGCCGCTTTCTAGCACTGAAAACCAGTTTCAGAGTTAGGCAGTCCTGGCTTGCAAAAGCTAATCAAGGTATTGGGCCTCCTGGTTCGCTGTACAGAGGGTTTCTCATTTAGGGCATCTCTGCTCTCAGGTTTCGTCAAATGGATTTCTATTATATTGTTTTTAGCCGCTCTGAGCCCTGAGTCAAATGGATTTCTATTTTATTGTTGTTAGCTGCTCTGAGCCCGGCTTTGGATGGAGAGGGCAGGATATAAATAAAATTTTATTATTTATTATTATTATTATTATTATTACACACAAGTTGGAGGGGGACTGCACTATTCCTAGCACATCCACAAATGAAAATAGATGTTTTCGTAACATCCTTTTCTTACAACAAGGACTGTCTTCCTTTACTCTTTGATAAATCAGTTGTGCACTGGGCTTCTGGAGCAAAGAGATGTTAGTGAACTGACCATAAAACTGCTTAAAATAATATTTAATTTTACGACCTCTGATTTGCATGGGATGGGGGAAGGGTTCTGGAAGAGGATGGAGTTTGAGATGTCTACTTGGACGTCTCTGGCTGGTGATGCACTGTCTCATTTTGCTCTAATGAGAGCCCTCCTTTTCCTGATCCTTTTAACTGGAGATACCGGTAATTAGGGACTGAATCTGGGACCTTTTGCATTGCTCTCCACTGCAGACCCTCAGAGGGAATTGTATGTCCATGGGTATGCACTTGCATGTATTATTGTCAAGATACATCCACCCAGGTGAGGGTGGGGAGAGCTGCAGACTAAACAACTTTGTGTAGGTGTGTATGCATAATTGCATTCCCCCCCCCCAAAAATGCATTCTCAACATCTCCTCTAGAGGTTGGAAGAAATGAGACAGAACAGGAACCATGCTTTCATGGGGACAGGGGACAGAAAACGGGTCCTGTTTCTGTTAAATAACAACAGTGGGAGCAAGTGGAAATATGCCCTAAGACTTGCTCAGACCACAATGCAGTGTTTTTGGAGATGAAATTGTCTCTGCAGGGATCCTACAGATGGAGAATGAATGATGATTTGTTGAGGAATGAGCAAATAATGGGTAAGGCCCAAAAGACTCTAAAAGATTACTTTGAGATAAATATGAACTTAGAGATGGAAACAGATTCAACGCTCATTCCCACTTTCGCTTGCCCCATATTTTGATTGTGTACTGATGAATTCCTCCAGGTCTGAGAGCTTTTCTCTCTGTTCCATGGCTGTTCCTTGCAAAAATCAGATCTGACCCACTGAATCAGATCTCATCAGAAGTGCAGACAAGCCAGAGAGGTATTTTGCTTACTGCGCTTCTGATTCAACGGTTAAAATTGGAGTTTCCCAAGGCACAGCCATGGAACGACGAGGAAAGCTCTCGGACTTGGGGAAATTAATTGGTATCCAATCCTATCAAAATTTGGGGCAAGCAAAAGTGTGACTCCTACCCGAAAGTCTGGAGGAGCCACTGACAACCCAAGGCTAGCCAATAGTATGCCCTCCTGATGCAGCTGAACACTGGCACCCATCAGCACCTTGGTCCCTGGTCAGGGTGAATGATGGGAGCTTAAATCCAGCAACAGTTGGAACCAAGTTGGCTGCCTCTGGTACAGACAGCTCTGAGCTAGATGGGTCCAGTGGTCTAACTCTGTAACAAGGCAGCTTCTAATGTTTAAGCAGTCAGCTTTAGGAGGACAACAGTGGCAGTCATGATTCCTGCGGCCTGTCCCAAACAAGTTTGGCTCTCCTATAACTCCATCTGAAATGGGCTATGTCTTTGTTCCATATGCTGACTTCCACTCTCTTTCCCTGCGCAGATCCTCAAGTGCTTAGACAGTTCCCTCCGGAGTTCGATGACCAGGTCAGTCCCCCTTTGCACAATTGCTGCCCAACTCCACTTTGCATTCCAAAATCATTGCTAGCATGTGCATGAATTTATGTATAGGTTGGGGGGGGGGTTGCACCTCCAGCAGATATCATGCACATGCAGCCCACTACCAAAACCAGCACAATCACTTTTGTGACTTTTGTGATTTGTCCCCACAAAACACTTCATCACAGTTTCTTCCTATCTATTCAAAGGGCCTCTGCTGCACAATACCAAATGTAACAATTCACTGATAAATGTTCCTATGTACTGGCTCACAGGGATAACTTCAGAAATTCATATAGACATGTGAGCTCAGCTACTCAGCAGCCCCTCTGCCTGAGTGATAATCCCTGGCATCCTGATACCTGAGTGCCAGGCAGGTAGCCATTCCAGAAATAAGAAACCCAGATGAAGACAAAAGGGTGTGATTAACTTGGTTGGAAAATGAGGAAATGTAAATATCTCTTTTGTTACACTTGATGGGTGTTTGGTGGAGGGCAAGGAGAACCATGGGGCAGGGTCCAGGATGCTCAGATTACTGCCACCAGACCTCCCCTTTCATGATGTAACCGTGATGTAGTTTGGGGGGGGGTGATGTAGTTTGGGGGGTGTAACATGGGGATTAGCAGCTAATAAAAGTTTGGGGGCTCTTTTGTTCGGGGATTCCATCTTGTTCCACCTTGTGGCAGGTGGGAGTCCTGTTGCGAGTGTCTTCAATAAAGACCAAGCCTACTGGCTGCTGTTTTGCTCTGGTATTCCTGGCTGGTGTCCTTGTTTTTTGTCCAAGGGAGCCCTCAGATTTCTCCGTTAACATGCTCAAGAGTCACCAGCTTTTTCTTCTTCTTCTGGATTTGGGGAAACAACCCGACACACAAAAATTAAACAGATGAAGCTTTTCCTGGCATGACAATAAAATGGGAGCAATTAAACAGCTTATAGGGACGCGGGTGGCGCTGTGGGTAAAAGCCTCAGCGCCTAGGGCTTGCCGATCGAAAGGTCGGCGGTTCGAATCCCCGCGATGGGGTGCGCTCCCATTGTTCGGTCCCAGCGCCTGCCAACCTAGCAGTTCGAAAGCACCCCGGGTGCAATGCAAGACAAATAGGTGACCGCTACTGAGCGGAAGGTAAACTGCGTTTTTTCCTTTGCTTATAGAGCAGGATGTCCGCTGCACGGAACTGAAGTGTCTCCGGCAGCGCTGGCCCGGGCTTGATGTGGATGGGCGCACCTAGAGTCTGGCAAGACTGGCCCATACGGGCAGGGTACTTTACCTTTTAAACAGCTTATAGAAGCTAAAGGCATTGGAAGATATTCAATAGAGGCCATTTGCACTGCCTTGTAGGCTAGTAACTTGGCAACACAGAAGAATTCTCAATTTGCAGGCTACAAAGCAAGCTGGCTGCTGTGCCAGTCCTCTTGCATGAAATACCACTTACCCAATGGAATTCCTATGGCTGCCAGGCAAGTTGTTCTAATTCAAGGCTGCATAAGCAACCTTTACTTAAATGTGAAATACTGTGCGTGTGGCAAGGAGAGATTTTGGAGGAACGTTGTGGAGTATCTGGAAACAGCCCTAGGCACTTTGCCAGGCAGATAGGTGCACACACACTCCATATAAGCCCAAGGGTGGGGATTACAGTCCAGCAACATCTGGAGGGTGTCCTGTGGTCCAGGATGATTGGAGCAGCTGTCCATCAACATCTGGAGGGCAATAGTTCCCCCTCACTCTTGGTTCTAAGCAGGTGGGGAAACACTGCATGCTTTGCAAATGATTGCCATTCAACTTGCAAAGGAGGCCACGGCTGCAGTGCTACTTCCCTGGGACTCAGCCCCATGGAACTGGGGTGGACACTTCTGAGCAGACTTGCCTAGGATTGTGCTGTAAATTCAGATCGTTCCGTACATGCAGCAGGCTCCTCCTTGCCAACCGAAGGTTTTTCTCAAGGTGCCTATAAGTTTGTCTGCCGGGTTCAGGCTGTAATAACCGAGGATCCTTCTCTCTTCCTGTAGGATTCAATCCAGATACTGCCCAAGTTTTGCTTCCCCTTTGATGTCGAAAGGTACGTGGTGGCCTGAAAGAATGGGGTCTCCATGCACTTTATGCACCCTTGCAACTTAGGCTCGCCAGCTCTTGAAACCAGCTGTTGCAAGCGGTGCCTTTGGCAGCAATATGATGCACAGAGCACCACACAACAAGAAGCATTATTTGCTGATTTCTACAGATAAAATTGCTGTTGGTCACAACAGTACTTTTCTCCTGGTCAATTAACAACCCTCATGAAGCCCCCTCTTTGTTTGTAGCTCCCTTCACCTAGCTAGGAAGAGCACCCCAGCGATCAGGATCAATCCTTGTGTAACAAGTTTCCCTTGTAGATATGGACCTGGAGAAGTCTACCCTTGTTGGAGGGAACTTTTTGTCCTCTGGTTCACATTGGCAAAACCATTCTCTCCCATTCCAACTACAGTTGTACCTTGGAAGTCAAACGGAATCCGTTCTGGAAGTCCGTTCGACTTCCAAAACGTTCAGAAACCAAAGTGTGGCTTCTGATTGGCTGCAGGAAGCTCCTGCAGCCAATTGGAAGCCACGGAACCCCGTCAGACATTTGGCTTCCAAAAGAACGTTCGGAAACCAGAACACTCACTTCCAGTTTTCGATCGTCCGGGAGCCAGAACATTGGGACTCCCAAGGCATTCAGGAGCTGAGGTACGACTGTATTATGGGGTCAGAAGTTCCCACATACAGGTACGTCCCTTGATCTCCTTATTGAACAACACAGCACCTGTTATTTGGCTGTCAACTGCATGTAATGAACTACCTGCATGGAAAGGTTTTATGTTTGGGGGTGATAGGAAGCCTCCATCTGAAAATAAGAAACAAATTAGTAGCATTTACACATTGCACAATGATATAAGATGCTATCATGCCCCTTCCCTACTCACCTTTTTTGCTCTGCATAAAAATGTGCTATAGACCTGTGGCTACCTCTTTCTTAGCCTACCAGCCTGACTATATGGAGAATATTATCTCCTCTTGCATTCATATGACATTTAAACAATTGCTTTGTGCATTCATCCCACTGGGTTTTGCCTACCAAAGCATATGTGCTACTGTATTAGCAGTTTGTCGCTTTAGCCAACTTATTGCATTCTTTCTCCAAAACGGCACCCCCTTACCCAGTCTCCCCACTTCTTTGTTAAGGGTCAAGGAGAGCCCTACGATCCAACATTTCACTTTTGTACTCACCGATATGGATGGAAAGCAACGCTTTGGTTTCTGCCGCTTGGCCGTGGCCTTCCGCACCTGCCTGTGTATCCTCAGGTAGGATGGTTTGTTCTTCCTCAGCTTCTTCTCATGGATGGGAATTTTCATGTTGCGGGGGAAGCATTTTCTTGGTCTGGATTGACCCCACAAACCTACAAAATGTTTTGGCCCATTGGGCTGGAGTCAGATGCAGATCAGCACAAAGAAGCAGAGTCCGTTGTCAGTGAAGTTCACTCTTTATTCAAGGAAATGGCATACGACTCAGCAACGCTTCCCAGCAGGTCTTGCCCCTATAGAGCAGTTGCCAGGACTGAAGGTTCCTTGCCTTCTACTCCCGTAAGTCACCTCATCTCCTGGATATTTCCCAAGTGCCTGCACACCCCTGGTCTCTGTTCTGCTCTCCTCATTTTTCTGTGCGGTCTTGGAGACCAGGGGAGAGGAAGCTTCTAACAGCAGAGAGGAAGACTCCTGGATTCTTCAGCAGCCTCTTAAACCCCCACCTCTGCTTCAGCCCCAGAGCCTGAACTGCTCCCTGTCACAGGCTCGTCCTGCTCACTAAACCCTGCTGCCCCTTCAGCATCCAGCCTGCCCTCCCAGTCTTCTCCCTTTGACTTCTCCTCAGTGTCCCACCACCAGTCCCTAGGCTCTGAGCCCTCCTCCCCTGGGGGTTCCCTTGGGGGGTTCCCCAGCTGCCGTCTCTCACCATTCCTCATCGTTCAGCCAGACCCTGACATCTGGTGTTGCTGAACTACAACTCCCATCAGCGCCATCCAGCATGGGCAGTGGCCAGGGATGATGGGCATAGCAGTTTAACAAGATCTGGAGGGCAGAAGTTCCTCACACCTGGACTAAGCAGAAGTGTAGGTGCAAGCCCTCGCAGAAGCCCAGTTGCCACAGAGTTACCCACGTGCCTCTCCACTAAGTTGGCATGGGGCCAATTTCACTTCTCTATGCCCTTTTAAAATGTGGCTCTTTGGGGGGGGCTGTTATTGGGTTGTTTTTATTTTGATTATATATACAGTGGTACCTTGGGTTAAGTACTTAATTCGTTCCGGAGGTCCGTACTTAACCTGAAACTGTTCTTAACCTGAAGCACCACTTTAGCTAATGGGGCCTCCTGCTGCCACCGTGCCGCCAGAGCCCGATTTCTGTTCTTATCCTAAAGCAAAGTTCTTAACCTGAAGCACTATTTCTGGGTTAGCGGAGTGTGTAACCTGAAGCATATGTAACCTGAAGCGTATGTAACCTGAGGTACCACTGTATTCTGGTTTTTATGTTGATCTTTTCTGTGAACTGCCCTGAGACCTCCAGGTATAGGGTGGTATATCAATTCAATAAATAATAAATAATAATAAAATTCTAATTAGACATCCTGGCTATGCGGGTCAGTGGCACCTTTGACACGACTGATGTTTCTCCTGAGTAGGTGCCTAAACAATACTTATAAGTTTAAGTGTGGTGGTCTTAATTTGGGGGCTAAACTAAATTTGGGAGCACTGGGCAGATCTTTGCACCCCGGCGGCGCATATGCTAAAGACAGCGCTGGCCCTTTGCCTGGTCAGTTGTGCCCCTGATACTGATTCTCTTTGCAGCTACGTGCCCTGGTTTGAAGTTTTCTACAAGATCTTGAACTACATCGCAGACAACTTGGCCAAGGAACAGGTGAGGGCAGAAATTCTGGATTCCTTGCAGAGCCCAGCAAGTTGCCCTGTGCTGTTCCCACCCCAGATTCCTAGCATTCCCATTTAAACACCAATCTCTGCCTTTATCTCCTCTCTCACTAGTTCACAGAGCTGGATGTGTTCTTGTCTGCACTTTATCTCCATCCTGTTCCTGACCTCAACAGCCCCATCAGCCTTGAATTTGTAAGTTCTCACCTCTCTGACACAGAAGAATCTGCTCCTATAGATAAGCAAAAATCTTAAAACAGCTGAGTTTTGAGTCCAGGTGCCATGATTTGTTGTTTTCCTGATAGTGCCTTTAAACAATTGCGTGGGCTTCCTGTGAGGGATGGGGGCACTCCAAGAGTCAAAGGGGGGCATCTTTGCATTTTGCAGGACCCCTGGCATGTCGCCATCCCTGCATCTATACACAGGAAAGAGTTAGTGGGGAGGGTGATAATTATTGGAATCTTTGTCCACTTCATTCCAGGGGGAAATTTCGCCCTCTGAAGTTGGAATTTGCATTAGGAGGTGCAAATGGAGAGTTTCCCTCAATACAATGCCATGGGAGGAGAGTCTTAAATTTTAACAACAACAACGTGTTTTTTTATACCCTGCCCATCTGACTGGGTTTCCCCAGCCACTCTAGGCAGCTTCCAACAAATTATAAAACCACAATAAAACATCAAACATTAAACACTTCCTTATACAGAGCTGCCTTCAGATATCTTCTAAAAGTCAGATCCTTGTTTATGTCCTTTACATCTGATGGATGTCAAGGAAATTTTAGGCAGTGTATGGAATTTGTCTATTCGTAACTGTCAGTAAAGTTAGCCTGCATTGAGCCTGATAATTACCACACACACTTGCAGCTCATGCTATTTTCCTTTTTAAAAAGCTCAAAATCATCATGGTGGGGGTTTTTTGAGGGGGAAATTCTGGGGGGGGGGAAGCTCAACATTTTTGGGCAAAACCTTCATTTTTTTTTAAAAAAAAAAAGCTTTGCCATAAAAAGCTCAACACCTTTTGAGTTCACTGGGTCCATCTTGTAGGCGATGGATTGAGGATTAAATCTGTAGATTGAAATTTGAACCTCCTATCCCACATGTATAGGAGAAATACAAAAAGTAACACTGTGTATCCAGATGCATTTTGCAAACTATTATTCATTGGAGCTGCAGTCTCTCCTTTCTTAGCACAGACCAGCTGTTCCAATGTCTATGTCAATATCCCTGAACTCCTCAATTTAGTAAACTGGTATAAAATGTTTTCTATGATGCCTCCAGATTATATGGAAGTGGAAGTATGTGGAGTTTAATGAATGAAGGTGTTGTGTGGTTTTTTTTAAAAATGGATGCATTATTGTTGAAAGACTAAAAATGTAAACAATTCTTCATCCATCTTCACTTAATTTGTTGTGGGGTGTATGTGTCCCCCTTTTTAACCATTTCTTGTTGTCTTGCAAGGATCTAAAGATGACCAAATTGAAAATTTCCACTGAGAAGGATCCAAACAAACAAGACAAGAGACAGGATCCGGACCCTGGAGCTGCATCAGTGAGTCAGGAGTCGGGGGGGGGCTGTGTCCTTTACAGGGAATGAAGAACCCTAAAAACGAAGAACAGAGAAGGCAACTTGATTTTGCCCATCAGCAGTTGGCATCTGGAAAGCAGACTGAGAAAGACTGAGACTGGAAAGACTGAGAAGGCACACAAATCACCTGGTCACTTTCTTTCCCTAATGTATTTCTATTCAATTTTTCCCCCAGAGGGGCAGCCATGCTAGTCTCTTGCAGCAAAAACAACCAAGTCTTACGGCACCTTAAAGACTAACAAGTCTGAGTCCACAAAAGTTCTTCTATAATAAATGTGTTAGTCTTTAAGATGCCCCAAGACCTCTTGATTATTTAAATTATGGCAATTTTCTAAATTTGCACCAAGACATTTAGTTTTGCATATATGCATCCTTTATACAAATCTGTGCCCTTTTTTAAGAGTCATTTTTCTGGGGATGCCCAAGATCTCCTATTGGGAGATCAGCCAAGAATCTATGTGGGGCTGCCCTTGAGTCTGACCCAGAAACTCCAGCGGGTGCAGAATGCTGCGGCGAGACTCCTTACAGGGTCCTCTCCACGGGATCACATTCTCCCGGTGCTGTACCAGCTGCACTGGCTCCTGGTGGAGTACAGGATCAGGTTTAAGGTGCTGGTTTTAACCTTCAAAGCCCTATACGGCCTCGGACCCTCGGACCTATGGGACCGCCTCTCCTGGTATGTCCCACGGAGGACCTTCCAGTCTTCAAACAAAGACATCTTGGAGGCCCCGGGCCACAGGGAGGTTAGGCTGGCCTCAACCAGAGCCAGGGCTTTTTCGGCTGTGGCCCCAATCTGGTGGAACGCTCTGTCACAAGAGACTAGGGCCCTGCAGGACTTGACAACTTTCCGCAGGGCCTGCAAGACAGAGCCGCTCCACCAGGCCTTTGGCCAAGGAACTGGTCTGACCCCCTCCTTTGGTAATCCTCACAGAACTTTAGCCCAATGGTTGCCATTAATTTGATTTTGAATTGATTTTAGAATGCTGTGTTATTTTTATTGTTGTTAGCCGCTCTGAGCCCGGCTTCGGCTGGGGAGGGCGGGATATAAATAAAATTTTATATGATGATGATGATGATGATGATGATGATGATGATGTAATGTGTTGCTTGATCTGGTGTATTATGCTGGTTGGCCAGTCAGCTACTATCCATAAAAATAAGGTGTGTGTGTGAGAGAGAGAGAGAGACTCGGACCACTGCCACAATTTTTGTTTCACAGAATCTTCTTCTAGCTGGACCAGATCATCACCAACCTCTTTCTTCCTCTCTTCCAGGTTTATTTCATTGCCCCTGACCAAGGCAAACTCCCCACCATCCCTGAAAGTGTAAGTCACATTTGCAGTGTCTCATGGAGCTTTGAGAGAGGTAGTTGTGGTTTGTAGGGGCAGTGTTTGCTTTCTAAAGAGAGAGGCACCAGCTTTCACAATTGTGGAAATGATGTCTCCTTAATCATCAGCCTTAATCCACCAGAGTGGCGTAATGTAGGTCACACAAGCCTAGTTCCCTTGCTGGCACCCAAAATCTGCTTCAGCTCCCACATGGTAGGGGGCGACCCCAGAAAAACCAGATGGCATTGAGGAGGAAAAAGAGGGGCAGCAGGCTGTAGATTCTGTGTGTTGCGTGACTGCCAACACAATAGCTCTTGTTGCAGTGGAGTGGCAAGCAGAGATCACCCACACCCAGTAGCGTAGCGTGGGGGGTGCAGGGGGGGCCGGCCGCACCGGGCGCAACATCTGGGGTTAGGGCAAATCCACGGGTTAGGGGGCGCAAATCCACGGGTTAGGGGGCACAAATTACTTGCCTTGCCCCGGGTGCTGACAACCCACGCTACGCCGCTGCCCACACCTTTTCTTTCCCTGTGCCTAGAAAGCATGATTCTGAGAGATTTTCTGCTAGTGGTTTTCTCTTTGCGCCACTAGAAAGCTCACTCTTTCGCACTGAATTGGAGCAGACGTCAAACTGCAGGAAACCCAACTGACAGTTGCTCAAAGCGGCGGGGAAAGTGGAAGTCTGGATGAGCTCTGAATGGGCTGGGAAAGGACATAGTCTGGCAATGCTATGAAGATTTCAAAATAGAGAGAAGAGTGATTCATTGCAAAAGGGCATTTTCTCCAAGCAGGGTTGGGGAGCAGGCAGGAGTATAATGTGCAATGAATGGCAAACATAGTCAGGTGCACCCTAGGGGAAGGAGGGGATTGTGAAAAGTGGGAATAGGAGGGCAAGATGGGGATTTTTGCTGGATTTTTGTGGACAGGCCGCTGCTGCTGCACTTTAAACAGCTATAATAATAATTTAAAAATAATTTATTATTTATACCCCGCCCATCTGGCTGGGTTTACCCAGCCACTCTGGGCAGCTTCCAACCGAATATTAAAAACAATACAGCATCAGACATGAAAAACTTCCCTAAACAGGGCCGCCTTCAGCTGTCTTTTAAAAGTAAAATAGTTGTTTATTGCCTTGACATCTGCTGGGACAGGTAAGCAATGCAAGAGCTAGACCTGTTCCTAGCACAAGAGATGAAAGAGGAGAGAAAGGGATTGTATTTCAGTGGCAGAGCACAAGACCTGCAAGCAAAAGGTCCCTGGTCCAATGCCTGCCATCTCTAGTTTCAGAAGATCAGGCAGCAGTTGATGGGAGAAAGACTTCTGCTGGAGACCAACCGTCAGAGTAGGCAGCGCTGAATTAGATGCCAAAAGTATGGAGAGGACCAGGTTGAGACTTTCACTCCAGTAGTCAAAATACACCACCATCAGGATGCTTTTAAGCAGAGCAGTTGCTAGGCAAAATAGAGGTGAGGCCCATAGACATTGGAACAGCTGGTCCACGCTAAGAAAGGAGACTGCAGCTCGAATGAGTGAATAATTTGCAAAATGCATTCAGATACACAGGGTTCCTTTTTTTCTCCTACACACAGGGGATAGGAGGTTTAAATTTCGATCTACAGATTCAATCCTCAATCCATCGCCTACAAGATGGACCCAGTGAACACAAAAGATGTTGTATTTTTTATCATTATTTTTTTGCAAAATATGAAGGTTTTGCCCCAAAATGTTGAGCTTTTTGGAAAATCTCCCCACCCACCCCCACAAAAAACACATGATGGTTTTGAGCTTTTTTTAAAAGGAAATTCGCTAAAATCTACACTTCCGACATTGGTTGTCCTTTGTCCGGATTTTCCCAGACATTAATGCGATTTCTGCCTGGACACTGTCCTGCAGCTGGGCATTTCCTGGTGTAATGTTGTTCCTAGAAAAAAGACAACAGAAGATGAACACAAAGTAAGAGAGCTGGATGCATTGTACTGCCATGAGTGACACAGAGTACAGAGGGCAGAACAATTGGGGGGGGGTGGACTGTGCCAAATCTGCACTGGAGAGTCTAACCGGGCATTGGCTCCTTCCCACAGAGGAACCTGACAGAATTTGTTGTGGCCGTGGATGCAAACAACATGTTGCGCCTGTATGCGAGCCTGCTCCATGAGCGACGGATCCTGCTCACCACCAGAAAACTCAGCACGGTGAGAGCAAGTCGATGCTTGGGGTAGGGGGAAAGGAGGGTGGAATCACATATAAAAAATGCTGCGAAAATGCTTTAAGGAAAAAGGTTCAAAATATATATATATTGAATTTGCCGTTAGCTCACCATCGCCACCTAGTGTCACATTTCTGGAATGCATTCAAAACACACTCAAAGCGTTGTGTTTGCAGCTGTATAGCTGAGTTGCAGGTCTCAGGTCTCAGGGAGTTGCCAGGTCTCCTGTGGCTCAAGCCCCAAATTGCAAGGAGCAGAGGTCTGGGAGTTTTGGGGGGACTGCCTGGTAGGGAGAGGTCTAGCGGTGGTGACATGGACATAGTGGAAAATAGGCTAGCCTGACACCCACCTACCCACCTCCTGAATCTAGAGGAGACCCCAAAACTTCAGGCCAAAATCCTGGCAATTTTCAGGAAGAGGACGAGGCTAACACTTCTACAGGGGCGAAATCCGCCTGTAAGGCACAGGCTGTAACTTAGAGGCTGTAACTTGGAGGGTGGTTCTGGTCTTCTGAGCAGAGTCAGGCCATCCAAAGGGAAATCTCCTAACGCCCCTCTCTCTCTCCCTGCAGCTCACAGCCTGTGTTCAGGCCTCCCTCTCCATGTTGCATCCCATGCACTGGCAACACATCTACATCCCAGTGCTGCCTTCGCACCTCCTTGACTACTGCTGGTGAGCCTTTTCATTTCTTCTTTTTGAAGCACTGGGCAGGGCAGGGGGTAAGACTGAAAGCTGGACGCGGGTGGTGCTATGGTCTAAACCATTGAGCCTCTTGGGCTTGCCGATCAGAAGGTTGGCGGTTCGTATCCTGGGTGAGTGCCCTTTTCTCTGTCCCAGCTGCTGCCGGGTGGTGCTGTGGGCGCTGTGGTGCTGTGACAGGGTGAGCTCCCGTTGCTCAGTCCCTGCTTCTGCCAACCTAGCAGTTCGAAAGCACACCAGTGCAAGTAGATAAATAGGTAACGCTCCGGCAGGAAGCTAAATGGCGTTTCCGTGCGCTGCTCTGGTTCGCCAGAAGCGGCTTAGTCATGCTGGCCACATGACCTGGAAGCTGTACGCCAGCTCCCTCGGCCAATAAAGCGAGATGAGCGCCGCAACCCCAGAGTTGGCCACGACTGGACCTAATAGTCAGGGGTCCTTTACCTTTACTTTTAAACAAGCTATAGCTTAGGGCCCCAATCTCTTGGGGGCCCCCAAAAAATGTCAAGGGGGAAAAAACCTGGATGTACATTTCCAAAATATAAGATAAAAAAACAAATAAAATAAAACCTACATGCAGCAACAGTGTTTTGTGTTGTGTAGGCTCTATGATGTAAGTCATGGGCCCCGTCTGCTAGCCTGCTCCCTAAAATATCACTGGTTTGCTCATTTCTCTATATAGGGTGCCTACATTCTTCATGGACTGGTCGTATGGCAACATGTCAAATGGCTTTAGATACCTGTTAAGTCCATTAAGTACCATATAGCGTATATTCAACACAAAAAGCAGCAACAATTTGTTGTTGACAAAGGACAGCTGGACATATAAAGGGCCCCATTGCCTTCAGTAGCTTAGGGCCTCATCAAGCCTCAATCCAGCTCTGTTCCTGGCATCTGACTTGGGGGGGGGGTTGCTGGGAAAATGGCCTATAAATAAACAGGCAGCGATAGTGATGTCTGCAATGAATCAACAACGAGAGCAAGGCAGGCACCAGGCATAGACCCTCAGCAGCCAGTTGCTGTTTCTTATCCTGACAATTTGAGTCTCTGCTGCTGTGATTTGGGAAGCTGTAGTTCAAATCAAGTCTCTGTTGTAGACAAAGGACAGAAAAGTGGAGCATGGAGAGTTGAACAATGGAAAAAGAAGTCTTTCCCTGTACTCCCACCCCTGGGCTTGCCCCCCCCACTCTGCTATCCGCTGTGAGGAGGCTTGGATCCTTCCCAGGACACTTCCCACAACCCAGGGGTGATTATAAGAGGTAGTAAAGGTAAAGGTACCCCTGCCCGTACGGGCCAGTCTTGCCAGACTCTAGGGTTGTGCGCTCATCTCACTCTATAGGCCGGGAGCCAGCGCTGTCCGCAGACACTTCCGGGTCACGTGGCCAGCGTGACATTGCTGCTCTGGCGAGCCAGCGCAGCACACGGAAACGCCGTTTACCTTCCCGCTGGTAAGCGGTCCCTATTTATCTACTTGCACTTTTGGGGGTGCTTTCGAACTGCTAGGTTGGCAGGCCTTGTGCCTAATTCATTGCAAAGGTAGATATGTGGGCTGTGAACTTCAATGCACATTAGAAGCAGGAATCTTTGGTGTGTTTAAAGACGTCAATTTCATATTTGTGTGTGTGTGTGTGTGTGTGTGTGAGAGAGAGAGAGAGAGAGAGAGAGAGAGAGAGAGATGAAAGACAATGCCTAGAAGTAACATTGTGTTGCCTGCAAAGCCCTTACCAATCTGATCTGTTTTTGAGCCTGGGTGTGACTCCCCACAGGACTTTCCCCTGTTCTCGAGGTCATGCCTTTTCCCCCCTCTAGGGGCAAAGTAAGTCAGGCAGGGTTCAATGGAGCCCACCCAGGGCCGTAGCTGGGGGGGGGGGTGAGGAAGGCCACTGCCAGGGGCACAGACGAGGGTGTGTGTGCAAAATTGGCTAAAGCATATGTTCATAAATATGTCTATAAATAAAAATATTGATTATTTAAATAGAGGGTCTTTATCTGGGGTGGGGTGGAGGATGGAGGAGAGGCGGAAAGAAGAGCTAATTTGTCCATGGCTAGGGGGTGCAATCTGGACGGCTAAGCCAGGGGCTCTGAGCCCACCCGAATCTGGAACCAGCTCTGACTCTCTTTCCTTCCTTCCTTTTCTCGACAGTGCCCCCATGCCCTACCTCATAGGAATCCACACCAGCTTCATGGAGGTGAGCTTGCCAATCCATTCTGCCCCTGGCCTCACAGGTCAGTTCTCACGAGCCTTCAGCTGAGTCCTGCAATCCCTGGTCCCAGAGGCACAGAACAGCCATGTAATGAAGAGTAGGGGAGCCCACATGTTCCATGAATAGGTGCAAGAGGACGGACGGGTGGTTGGGTGGGTGGGAAGAAGTTCTGGTCAACATCAACGGAGCCTCGACACCCAGGGCAGCTGCCATTTTGTGGTCACTCATAGTGTGGGCTGTACGGTACTGTTGAGCAAAGTCTGTTTGTTCCATACTTCAGTCTCAACTCAACAGCCGTGCCTGACATTGCCAGTGACATTGCCAAGGATTCTGGGCCTAAACCTCTGGGATTGCAGCCTTCTTCTTTGATGGCAGTCAATAGATCCATCACTCTGGACTGTTGGAAACACGCCCAGGAAGGCCGCCATCTTCCCAAGACATTGGGGCTTCTCTCTGGTGGTCCTCCCTGGCTGTAAATCTCCCTCAGTCCAGAGAGACCGGTGATAAGCAGCCCCTCTCTCCTGAGAGGAGCACACTCGTCTTCTGGCATATCATTGCAGAAGAAAGAATCAATCAGCAGCTCTAAAACTACTTTATTTACAGTCTATAATACAAAGACTCCATCAGCACTTCTGTGCTCTTTGAGCACCTGTACAGAACAGCAACAAAGGGACGCGGGTGGTGCTGTGGGTTAAACCACAGAGCCTAGGGCTTGCCGATCAGAAGGTCGGTGGTTCGAATCCCCACGATGGGGTGAGCTCCCATTGCTCGGTCCCTGCTCCTGCCAACCTAACAGTTTGAAAGCACGTCAAAGTGCAAGTAGATAAGTAGGTACCACTCCGACGGGAAGGTAAATGGCGTTTCTGTGTGCTGCTCTGGTTCACCAGAAGTGGCTTAGTCATGCTGGCCACATGACCCGGAAGCTGTACTCCAACTCCCTTGGCCAATAAAGCAAGATGATCGCTGCAACCCGAGAGTCGGTCACGACTGGACCTAATGGTCAGGGGTACCTTTACAGAACAGCAACACATTCAGAAGTGAAACCAACTTCCAACAGTACTCCAACAGTACTCAGACTTCCTGTCTCATGCTCTCTTAGACACTCACATGATGTATACAAAAACATAGTACAACAGTACCACTCGCTGGAGCAGCTCGAATAGATAAAAATCCTAACATGCTTGTGCAGTCCAGATGACATGATCCTGGGCTTAGGTTGATGGAGGCTTGGTGTGTGGCAGGCAGGCAGGTGGTCCAGCCTTTACTGCTGGTGGGTTGAGTATAAACCCTTTGGCCCACCCATCTCTTCTGTTTCTATGATGCTTAGAACCTAAGAATAGCCTGCTGGATCCGGCCAATGGTCCATCTAGTCCAGCATCCTGTTCTCACAGTGGCCAACCACATGCTTGTGGGAAACCGGCAAGCAGAACATAAGCACCGAAACACTCTCCTCTCCCATGGTTTCCAGAAATTGGAACTGTGGAGGCAGAGCGCAGACATTTGTAGGAACAACTCAGTGCTGTGAGTCAGGGATCCCTCCCCAAGAGTGGTGAGAGATCAGGTGGAGCTGGGTCACATTTAACATTCATGACAGCAGTTTGCAAAGGCAGTGAACAGAGGAGCAAGCAGTGTCTCTCTTTTAGTTTTCTCTCTTTTGTCTTTGATTCCTCCAGAGAGTGAGGAGCAAGGCCCTGGAAGATGTCGTCATTCTCAACATTGACAGCAACACCTTTGAATCGCCCTTCCAGGACCTGGAAAACCTCCCAAGTGATGTAGTTAGTATTGATTTCATAAAATGATGATGATGATGATGATGATGATGATGATGATGATGATAAATAACAACAATAAACTATAGTGCAGGTAGTTTTGATGTCCTTCTGAGCACCCTGGGTCCTTTGTGGTTTGCTTCTATTATTCTTTTCTTCCACTATTACTCCCTCTTCCTCCCCACTGCTATGAATTATCACGCGGGTGGCGCTGTGGGTTAAACCACAGAGCCTAGGGCTTGCCGATCGGAAGGTTGGCGGTTCAAAACCCCCTGATGGGGTGAGCTCCCGTTGCTCGGTCCCAGCTCCTGCCAACCTAGCAGTTGCAAAGCACAAAGTGCAAGTAGATAAATAGGTACCACTCTGGCGGGAAGGTAAACAGTGTTTGTGTGTGCTGCTCTGGGTCGCCAGAAGCGGCTTAGTCATGCTGGCCACATGACCCGGAAGCTGTACGCTGGCTCCCTCAGCCAATAAAGCGAAATGAGCGCCGCAACCTCAGAGTTGTCTGCGACTGGACCTAACAGTCAGGGGTCCCTTTACCTTTACCTTTATCTTCTAACAGTTATTTTTTATGTATGCAAACTTTAGCTTCCAGTACTAAACTTTCACTTTAAAGCAACTGATTCATTGCTGCCCCCTCCTCTTTTCTGAAAATATATCAGCTGAAAATGTATTAGCAGAACTGAAAGATGGGTAATGGCCCTGCATAAACTCTTGGGCTATTTTGTGAAATTTGTGAAATGTGTGAAAATTGCCATTTTCTGCTGTGTTCTTATAGAGGGAGTTGAGCTTTTTGAGAGAGAGTTTATTTTTTTGCTTAGTATTGTTCTTTAACTCTCTAACTTCCTAATACTATTCATAAAACAATTCAGGTTTTGAGCTTTCTCAGATACATTCCCTACAGATGAAGGTCATAAACTCCTAATGACTGCCACGTAACTCCCATACAGTGGCTTTTACAAAAAGTACACTTATTAAAATCAATAGGCCTAACTTAAGGCTCGTCCACACTTATGATTGTCATGTGCCTAGAAAACACGACTCCCCTTGCCCTGATCCTTTCCCAGCGACTACCCGCTCTTTAGCTCTAAATCGGAACAAGTGGCAATCCATGAAAAACCCAAATTGCTGTTTGCTCTGATTGAGCGCAAAAGAGCAGTTTTCCCTAGGGGAAGAGGAAATGTGGATAAACCTTTAGTGATGTTCATAAATGTCAGCTGGTCTATTCTAATACTAAATTGAATACCATTGTGGGTATTCAACATAGTGCTACATGGGGTATGAACATGGGAAATGAGTTCTGCCTGCACAGTGGGAATTTCTTCTTCTTCTCTCCCCTGTATGCGCCCTAAAGCTGTTCTGGGGGTTTCCCAACTCTCCAGAGAAGATTTGGAGAACCCTGAATGGACCTTGTTCTGTGCACACAACGTATTTTAATCCCACCCTAAATAAATTGAGAGAGTGTCTGTTTTTGAACCTGCTGTTTGCATGCAACTGATATCATATCCTCCAGTGCCATGTTAGTCATATTTGAATGCCAAGAGCACGATTTGTGTATCTACCCTCAAATATTCTTTCTGCAATGACTAATTTGGCATAAACAGGAAACAGAATTTCAGCTCATTTTATGTGTGTGTGTGGCCTCTCCCTTCAGATAAAAGAGAACAGAAAGCAAAAATGCCATTACATAATTCTATGGTGTAGCCGCATGTAGGATGCTGTGTACAGCTTTTGGGTGTTCGTCTAATAAAAACTATTGTCAGGTGGGATAAAGGAATAGAAAAAGAAAGTAAAATTACATATGTTTGGTGTACTTTCAAATGAAGAAAGACGAAAGTTTTTGTTTGCGTTTAGTTTAGGGGGGGGGGAATATATGCAAGAGGGAAAATGCCAGAAGTTTATAAAATTATGAATGGTTGGAAAGATGAGGCAATATACATTTTTCTCTCCCTTTCTTAAATTTTGGGGTCTCCCAATGTAGCTGATCAGCAGAAGAGTGGTTTTAAGTTTTCAAATTCAGTGCTGTTTTTAACAGGGCAAAATATTTATATAGAATTAGTGTGTTTTTAGTTGTGTCTATTCTCATTTATGTCATGAGCCACCTTGGGTCCTGTACTTGGAGAAAGGTGGAAAATGAAACGCTATGAAATGCTAACCAGCTGGCATGCAAGACTGCCAAATATCCCATGACTCCAACAGTGCCACAACTTACATTTTGTCTATGTCGCCCAAAATCACAGACCTAGCATTGGCATGGGGATAGGATATTTATTTTTGTATTTATAAAAGCGTTTTTATACCACCTTCTATACCGTCCTAAGGGAGGCGGGTGGCGCTGTGGTTTAAACCACTGTGCCGTTTGGACTTGCGGATCGGATGCTCAGCGGTTTGAGGCCCCGCAATGGGGTGAGCTCCCGTTGTTCAGTCCCAGCTCCTGCCAACCTAGCAGTTCAAAAGCACACCAGTGCAAGTAGATAAATAGGTAGCGCTCCAGTGGGAAGGTAAATGGCATTTCCGTGCACTGCTCTGGCTTCACCAGAAGCGGCTTAGTCATGCTGGTCACATGACTCGGAAAAACTGTCTGTGGAAGCGGACTAACGCCAGTTCCCTCAGCCTGTAAAGTGAGATGAGCGCCGCAACCCCAGAGCTGTTCGCAACTGGACTTAATTGTCAGGGGTCCCTTTACCTTTAACCTAACAAAAGTCCCCAAGACTGTTTTTAGGCTATATCACACACAAAAACAGCCAAATTAAAATGAAGCATTAGTGTCAGGGGTTCAGGAGCAGAGGCGAGGGCAAGGGAGGAAACAGAGAGCGAGGGGGAGGAGTCCGAAGAAAGGATGAGTGATGACGACGACCCGAGATCTCCGAGTCTTTCCAGTGAATCGGAAGATTCACAGAAAGGAGCGCCAGTGGCCAGAGCAAAGGGGGGGCCTAGGGGGACACCCCAGGAGGAAGGGACCAGCGGGGGTTCAAAGGGCAGCAGTTGGAAATCGGGGCCAGCGTCCCCACCAGAGCGCAGTGGAGAGGAAGGACGTCAGGGATCGAGCCCTGGCAGCTCGCAGCAGGGAGGAGGGCATGAGTCAGGAGTGACCACACCCCCATCGGGGAGCGAAGAAACGGTCAAGCGGAAAGTGGAAGGTTGGGCGCGCGCGCCAAGTTCAAATGCACAGGAAGGCGGCGCAGTAAGCAGCCCGGAAAGGGAGCCAGGTCCTAAAGCCCGACGCAAGGAGACAGGAGGGTCCGGGGGGTCAGCGTCAGAGGAGTCCCGGAGGGAGGAGACCACGGGGGCAGAGGGACCCAGAGAAGGACGGTCAGGCGGAAAAGGTGGAGTAAGGCGAGGATATTAAGTTGGTGTACGAGGGGCGGAGACTCAGACAGAGCTTTGCCGGTCTAGCCATAAGACATAGAGTTGCACACAGCAGCTTGGAAATGGAACTGTAAATCAATAAAGACTTTTATAAAGCGAACGCTGGCTAGCGTGATCCTCTGTGAGCTAGGATCGGGGAGCAGCTCTGACACTATGAATATTCTAGTCAGTCTTTTTTTAACACTTTGCAGTTGACTTTTATTTCTTAGATACACCTCATCCTACCACCATTCTCTTTAACTCAATCCCATTGCAATGGAATATTAATTATCTGAATTGAATGTGTATTATATGGTTCAGCATTGTTGTTGTTGGCATCTGTCTGTCTCAAAAGACAATGGAGTGCGGCTCTGGGAGTGAAGTAAACTTCTGCATTAGCAGCACCAAAGTGACCTCCCTGGAACACAAGCCTGGGCAATGTGTGTGGAGGTCCTGGGCTGCCCAGATGACAGGACCCCCCTCTTGGCCTTGCTGATGTGGTTCAAAGGAAAGCAGAACAATATGTGTTTGGCACCAGCTTGACTGCAGGAGTTGCTAGAAGGAAGCATACAAGGTGCCATCCAACCATCTTAGAGACTCCACTGGATTAGTGTGGGGTTTACTCCTTGGCCTTTTCTTCACCTGAAAATATCATGCAAGGCAGCAGAGCCTGTTTTCACATGCAGAAAAAGTTCCTGAGACCCATCTGCTCCCCTCACCTAATTTAGCCAGCCAGTCGAAGCTGTTTCCTGGGGTGCGGCCGCTGTTGCAATCTGACAGCTTCCAGGAGCCACAGATGAGAGCTGAGTGAAGGGTGGGGACCAAAGGTAGACAAACTACCCCAGAAGGAGCATGACATGTCCCCCACCAGAGGTACCATCCCCCCTAACAATCCATATGCTCCAGCATTAACCTTCACTGGTTTTTCTTTTATTTATACAAGATCTCCCAACACTCTTGCAACTGATTCTGTTTATCTTACAAGTCCCATCTTGACATCAGCACTATTGTTGAAGAGCTTATCTGCTTTGGACATTCTAATCATACGCACACTCAAATTAAAGCTTTTGTCCTTGCATTCTTCGGAGAATTGTCCACACAAGCTCTTAAGTGCTCCTCAAACAATCAAGACAAAGATAGTTGGCTGTGTTTAAGCCCATCCTGTCTTTTCAACACCACTGATTTGGACGTCAGTGGAGGATATTAATTACTTAACCCTTACTGCAAGTATGGGGAACCTCCTAAGACCTCTCTTTCTGACCCCCTAAGACTCTCCCCAGGACATACCCTCTCCCTAGCCACAATTCCAACTATCCCTGCTTCACATCCTCCTAGAATATGTCCTTGAACCCTGAATATGCCTTTTGCCTGGATGGATGGAGGATTGACAGGTGTGTGTAGAAAGCAGCCTGCTGTATAAAGGTAAAGTTCATATTAAATTCTCCATCCACTTTTTGGCATACCCAGAAGGGAATGCAGCCCTTGTTCCTGAAAAAAGTTACCCATCCCTACATTAGCGTTCTGGAGCCCTGCCCTCCTAGCATGTGGAGTGCTGTCCACTATACAGGAGAGTCCGTTTACTATGCAGCAAGGAAATGGAGATTTTAAAAAAACATAATCCTCCTCTCATCACAATGCAACAGAGCTACCAGGATAGGAATT